TCTTGACCAGAGAACAAAGTTCCCTCTAATGAAATAGTCTCTGAATGTTTAAAAGTTGTTGCAGTAACAGCCCCTCCTTTACCTTGAATAAGAATATATATCAATTGGACAGGCAAAGAAATTTAAAAAGGGCTGGTTAACTATTACAAACTAAACACGTAGAAACAGTTACTAGAGAGTCAGTTTATAGTACACAGAGAAACATTTTAGACAGAAAGGGCTAGATAGCTAAGTTAGACATCACAAAGGCCTTATAATAAATCTCCTATTACCTCTACTCAATCTAGCGTATCCTTTTGCCCCATGATAAATTCTGAGAAATTTTAATATACAATTAAGACATTCAAATTCTGTACACACAGCTACTTCTAATTGTCTGATTAATGGCTCTCCTGATCAAAATAATCTTTATTATAACTGAATGTATGGGAATTTTCGTATTTTTCCTGGTTACCTTTGTATTGATTTTTTCTGCTTAACTGATCATGCTATGCTGCAAATGTTAATCAATACCTAAAATGAAAATATAAAACCCTGCTTGTACTTGCAATAAACGGAACAGAGCTTCACTGTCCTCTGAGGCGTGATGTCGTCTGTTACCCATCGCCGACGCCTTACCCACCTTCTGGACCCCTGGACCCTGCCAAAGCTGGAGGCTGCGAAGGAGCTAGACCAGTAGGACCCTGGGGAGAGGGCCAGAGCCAACTCAGAAACAGCAAATGCTTTTTCCTTGCAGACGATGCCCCAGTCCCAGAACGAGCCCCGCTCCTCCTTCCCCCGCCTCCTTTATCTATAGCCATTGCACATTCTTTCAGAACAGCCCGCCTCTTTCTCCCGCTAAACTGAGTGTGTAGAAGGGCCTGGCCAGTCCCGGGAGGGCCTGTCTGCTTCTCCATCCAGCCCGCTGCCGGCGGTTTGGGCGGCAGGCCCAGGGTCTGGGCCTTTTCTGGCTGGTAGATGCTCTACAAACACTGTCAGAAAACCTTCTAGCCTTGAAGGTTTATGTTTAACAACACAAACTTCTACCTTTGGGAGTTAGTTTTATCACCCATGTTTTGAACGCATGTGCAGACACAGCCGAATCGTGCACTCGGGGCAGAGCCGCCTGCGGAGCCACCAGTGGTGATGACCAGGCTGCAGAGGACACGGCAGCAGGGACGCTGGGCACCAGGGCCCTTCACTGTTCGGTCCCAGAGCCTCTGCTTCTGGAAGTGTGGCTGATTTGAGACCCCGAACAGCCCCACTTGCCACAAAACTACTGATCCCAGAGGAGACATAACAGACCACTTAAAAAAAGAGATTTTATTTATATAACTTTACAGAGAGGGGAAAGGAGGGAGAAAGAGAGGGAGAGAAGCAGTGATCATTTGCTTTTCATACGCACCCACACTGGGGACCTGGCCTTTGGCCCAGACATGTGCCCGGACTGGGGCCTGAACCGGTGACCTTTCACTTTGCAGGATGATGCCCCCCCCCCCCCCCCCGCCAGAGTCAGGGCCGGCCAGGGCAACAAACCACTTTCTAAACCCAAAACAGAGTCGTTCTGTGGTTCATTTGTTCATTTGAATTGCAATAATGTGGACATAGCATTTACCATCTTAACCATTTCTAAGACCACAGTCCGGTGGCACTAAATATATTCATATCGCCGCGTACCTGACACCGCTGTCCATCCCCAGAAGCTCTTCACCCTCCGCAGCAGACGGCCCCCCACCCCCGTTCTCCCTCCTCGATTCCTTGGTAACCACCCTTCCACTCCATCTCTGTGAACTTGACTCCTCCAAGTACCTCAGGTAGGTAGAATGATTCAGTATTTATCTTTTCACTTGGTCCAGCACCCCCAGGCTCCACCCGTGTTGCAGCCTGCACTGGACACCCCCCCCCCGCCTCCCCCCACCGGGGCCGACTGGTGCTTCCTTGTGCGCATCTGCCACACTCTCCTGATCTGTTCTGCTGGCCATGGTCACCGGGGCTGCTCCCACCTATTGGCTCGTGTGAGGAAGACTGTTAGGAATACAACAGAAATCTGTTCAAGATGCTGCTTTCAGTTCTTTTGGGTCAGTGCACAAGAGTGGAATTACTGGAGCATATGTTTATTCTATTTTTAATTCTTTGAAGAACTGCCGCACTGTTTGTTTTTCATAAAAGCTCGAGGAATCTCTGGGGGTCGGTAGAGAGGGGCTGGGGCCTGCCTGCCCTCCAGCTGTTTGCTGAACTCTGTAACCCAGATGTGAGGGAGGAGGTGGGTGAGGAGTGAATAGGGGGGCAGGGGAGTCTCCAGGGGCCACAGCCTCTGTGAAGGGGGGACTGTCATGCAACTGCCAGCGAAGATTTTTGAGGAAAGCTATCAGTCCATCTGGGCTCAAGGAGGAAGGAGAAAGTGCTCCTCAGAAAGTCTGTGCCCCCCACGTGAGTCTGGGGTTTGCATGTGTTCTGATCCAGAAAGGGCCCCCTGGGAAAGTCTGCCTGTGCTTCTCCCCAGAGCATGGTCTGGGGCAAGGGGGGTGGTCCCAGGCGGCTGGGAGGTGAGGGTGGGGATGTAAGTGTGAAGAGGGTAACACTGCCTGGGCACAGGACCAAGTCCTGCTGGGCCCCCAGGAAGACTGGGAGCAGCTGGGAATGTCCCTGATACCAGGGGTGCGAGGCTGGGTGTCTACCACCCAAGGCCCAGGGTTGCCTCTGGTGGGGCTCATTCCTGGCTCCTTCAGACAGCATGTGTCCCCACAGTGCCAGAATGTCCTCATGGAGGATTCAGAAAGCCACAGGGACCTGCCAGGGACATGTCCACGGTGACTTCTGGGGCTGGCCGAGGTGGGTTGCCCCGTTAAACTAAAGAGTCCTGGTTGGCAGTGCTGGGTGGCGCGGGGGTGGGTGCGGGGAGTCTAGCAGGAGGGCTGACAACGGCTTTGGCTTCCCAGGGTTTCCATCCCCCAGCACCCAGCTGAAGGCAAACTCCGTCCATTCTTTCCAAGCACAATCTGCCCCTGGCAATATTTCCAGAATCTTCTGCTGGGGAGACTCCTTCATGCCTCCAGGGCTTTATACACACCGTGCTCGCTGCTGTCCCTCCCTAACCCCAGCTGAACCAGTCCCCTCCCTCTGCTCCCCTGGGCACTTTAGCTACAAGTCCCAACCCGGAACCTTTTGTTTACAAGTGTCCTTCCTGCTTTAGTTTTCACTGCACCGCCTATCACCAGCCCAGGAAACACATGCAAGATCAACATGACACAGCCGTGGGCCGTCCGGCCTGCCCGCACCTCCCTCTTACCCCTTCTCGAAGGGGCAGCCTTGCTGTGGGAAAAGTGGTCAACTCAGTTTCAATAGCCCCGTGGTCTTGGGGGCGTGGACCGGTGCAGCCACTGTGGAAAGCAGTATGGCGGTTCCTCAAAAAATTAAAGATGGACCTGCCTTAAGACTCAGTGACCCCACTGCTGGGAATATAGCCTAAGGGTCCTAAAACCCCCATCGGAAAGACTACATGGACCCCTATGTTCATGGCAGTGTTAACCCCAATCGCCAAGATCTGGAAGCAGCCCCAGCGCCCATCGGCAGCTGAGTGGATGAAAAAGCTGCAGTACATGTACACCGTGGAATATCACTCGGCTGTCAAAAAGGAAGAAAATCTTACCCTTTGCCAAAACATGGATGGACTCAGAGAGCATTATGTTAAGTGAAATAAGCCAGTCAGGGAAAGACAAGTACCATGTGATCTCACTTATATGTGGACTCTAATGAACAAAATAAATTGACAAAAATAGAACCCAAGGCACGGGCAGGTGGAACAGACTGACAGATCTCAGCAGGGCGGGGGCTGGATAAAAGAAGGTGAAGGATTTAGCCAAAGGACATATACGCATGAACCGTGGATACGGACACCAGTGGGGTGAAGGCCAAGGGAGAGGGGGACAGACGGGGGACCATCTGTAATAGTGTAATAGTGTCCCCAATAATAGTGTAATAGTGTCCCCATCTGTAATAGGTGGGGGTCTGAGGCCAGCTATTACAGATGTAATAGTGTCCCCAATAAAAAAATAACCCTGAGGCCTTGAAAATGATAACATCTAATTCTCTAAAACAATCTGGGAAGCTCAGACCATGTCTCGTGTGGGTATCGGTGTTTTTGTTTTCATTTTACACGGTGGGGAGACCGTCCTCCTATTAGTTAGTGGGTTTCGGATGCACCCTCGGTTCATTTGAGTCCCCTGGAGCAGGGCTTGGCTGGTGCTGCCCAGCTCCAGAGACAGGCTGGTCCTGGCAGCGGTCCCTGGGAACTTGCTGTACTTCAGGAGCTTGGAAATGTTTCCTTTCTCCAGCTGGCCCCTCTCACTCCAAGGGCTTTCTCTTGGGGAAGCCCAGGGGGCTCAGCCAAGGCTCCGGGACAATCTGGTGGTTGCCAGAACTCCTTAGGCAACCCCAAGGACACGCCAATCTTTCAACTGCTCTGTGACCCTGGTTTTAAGGACAAGGTACAGGGACTTGGCCCCCACATGCCCTTGAGGGTGGCTCTGACAGTCACTGATTACATTTCTATCCCAAGAAGTTGAGAAGCATGTTGTTCCTGAATGGCAGGCTTGGTCACGGGTCACAAGTCCTGAGTGAGGTGTGAACCTAGGAAGTGATATGAGTGGGTGCCGCCACCCCAGCGCCAGCTCCCCGGGAGGGCTGGAGGCGGGGGGTACCTATCCCGTGGAGACAGCCCCTGGTAATTTTTTTTTAATGGCCTCAGATTTGACACCAGGAACCATATCAACAACAAGGACCCAAGCAAAGAAAAAACAATTAATCAGTTACACTCAGTTGCACCTTTTATGGTACATCTGGCTGGCTGGATTTTTTTTTTTTAGAATAAGGATCGTTAAACTGCAGCCTGTAGGCCTGTTTTTGTACAGCCTGGGAGCTTAGAGTGTTTTTCACATTTTTAAGTAACTGGGGGGAAAGCAGGAGGAGAGTAATATGTCGTGACATGTGAAAAGTATAGGAATTCAAACTCCTGTGTTGTTAGATAAAGTTTTATTGGAACGCACCCAGGCCCGGGTATTGACAGATTCCCAGGAGCAGTTTCCCTGCAGAGGCTGAGACGGAAGGCTGCAAAGCTGAAAGTTGTTACTGTTTCACAGAACGATCCTGGAGCCCTGAGTTGCCCTGAGTTAGAGTATCGGTGATAAAGACGCTAATGATGTTGCTCATCTGTGGCCCCTGGCAACACGGCAGCGCAGACACATCTGGTGAATGAATGAATGGAGTGAACAAACACAGTCATTGGGTCTCACACAGAGGCTGAAATGCCACTGTGTGCCCGACCCAGGCTGCACCAGTGCCTGGCAGAGGACGGGAGGTCAGGGCCCCTGCAGACCCTTGCGCAGCGAGGGCTGGGCCCACAGGATGAGTCTCACAGCTTCAGGAAACCACCGCCCCCCCCCCCCCCCCCCCCGCCAGCCACCAAACCAGATCTGCTCAGGAGCTGTCCTGGTATCACACCTGTCTTGGGGTCAAACGTCATTCATTCCCTGCACTCAGAGTTGGGACCATTAGTTACCTAAGGTCTCAGTCAGTGACGAGGGCTGCTCTAACCAAGGACCACAGACTGGGTGGCTTAAACCACAGACATTGCTTTTCTCACTGTCTTGGAGGCTGGTAGTCCAAGGTCAAGGTGCTGGAAGGTTTAGCTTTTCCCGAGGCCTCCCAGGGCTGGCCCTGTGTGTGTGTGCATCCGCGGGGTCTGTCCTTCTCCTACGACTGCTGCATTCGAGCCCACCCATCTGATCGACTTTAACCTTCACCACCGCTTTCAAGGCCCTTCGTCCAAGCAGTGCCGTTCGGAGGTGCTAGGAGTTAGGACTTGAACATGAATTTTGAAGGAACCCAGTTCAGTCCATAATGATTTTCTTTAGATCACAGTGCGTGTGCTCTGGGGCCCTGTCCTTGGGCACAGAAGACAAATTTGTTAGCAGGCATTCATGCCGCCCTCCACTCTTGTCCCCCCCCCCCCCCCCCCGCACCCCACCCTGTGGAGGTCCATCCTGAAGAACTTCTGAGGCCCAGATATCGGGACGGGATCTTGGAACTTCTGGCTCCCCGGTCACTGCTGCTGTGCCGTCCTCGCTGCCCTCTTCTCGATGAGGCTGGGAATACCCAACTCGGCCCCAGATTCTGAGTCTGTCCCCCCACATGCACCCCAGCCCCCCGAGGACGCAGGCCAGCCCTCAGTCTGCCCTTCCCTGCCTGCCACTCCTGAAGTCCCCACCCCACCCCCACTTCAGAATATTCAACTCTTTTTGGAGACAAAACAAAACAAAACAAACCCCGTCTGAACTTCCCAGAGCCCACAATTCCTGAGCATCCAGCCTCAAAGCCCAGGCAGCACACGTTCAGGTGGGAAAGGAAGGGAGTGAGAAAGAGCTTTGCTTTCTTTTGTCCCAGAGCAGAGACACAAAATACTCATTCTTCCTCTGTAGCTTTAGTAGGTGACACGCCCCGCCCAGCCATGGCCTCTGCAAACCTCCCCTCAGTGCACATCCCCAGCCCCCCACCTGCCACGTGTCCCTAAAGCGGACAGCTTGGCCTCACAGAGAAAACAGATGACGGGGCTGCTGGCCTCAGACCCGTGGCCGCCTGCCAGGAGCATGAACACCGCCTGGCCTCCCCTCCCTTCCCCTGCGGCGGAGGGGTCCCCACCCCCTCCAGCCATGGTCCCCTCCCCTACATTTTGGTTTTGTTTAAATTAACCTCTTAATTTCAGGATTGTTTAGGTGGACAGAAAACTCGCAAAGACAGTACGGGAAGTCCCTGTGGCGCCCCCTCCCCAGTTTCTCCCAGTGACGACACCCTACATGACTGTGGTTCATGTGTCACAATTAATGAACCAGTGCTGGTGCGCTGTTATTAACGAACGTCCACGCTTCATTCAGGCCTCCTTCGTTTGTCCCTAACGGCCTTGCCCTGCTCCAGCATGACGACTGGACACCACATGAGGTCCAGTCGTCCTGTCTCCGTAGCTCCTCTGGGCTGTGATAGTCCCTTAGGCAGTTCCTGCTTTTGATGACCTTGACTGCTTTGAGGGCCAGTGATCGGGTATCTCGTCGTGTCCATTTGGATGTGTCTGGTGTGTTTTTCATGATTAGACTGAACTTGTGTGTTTTGGGGGTGGGGGCAGGGAAGACCGGAGAGGGGAGCGGGCGGTTCTAATCCTACCCCATCAGGGGCGACCCACCACTGCCGATGTTGGCCTTGGCCCCCCGGCTGAGGTGGTGCTTGCCCGGCATCTCCACTGTCAGGGTCCTCTTTATCCCCTTGCACAGTGTGTGTGGGGGGTGACGCTTCAGCCCCTTGGGGGTCAGTGTCTACACTGCTGCTTTAGAATTCTCCCCCACTCAATCACCTCTTCCATTATTTATTTGTACCCGGAGAGACACGTGGATATTTACTTTGTGCTTTGCATTGTTACCCAACGCGGCATTACCTGTCTCGTTGCCCAACCCGTCCTGCTGTGGCCCCTGGGAGCCCTGCTGGTGGTTTGGTGCCCCTTTGGCATAGCCCCAGAGTTGAGTGATTTTTTTTTTTTAAGATTTTATTCATCTACTTTTTAGAGAGAGGGGGAGGGAGGGGGAAAGAAAGAGAGAGAAACATCAATGTGTGGTTGTCTCTTGCATGATCCCCGCTGGGGACTTGGCCCACACCCCAGGCCTGTGCCCTAGACTGGGGACCAAACCGGCGACCTTTTGGTTCGAAGGCCCGTGCTCAATCCACTGAGCCACACCAGCCAGGGCCAGAGTTGAGTTTTAAGTGTCCTTTCTGTCTTTCCGAGATGCTTTGGGCTCCTCCGATCTGTTCCCTATGCCGCCTCGCACCAGCCTTTTCTCCCCGGAGCCTCGAGTCCTGTGTGAGCAGAATGGGATGAACACCCCAGGTCTGGGTGAGGTGCGGCTCATTGTCGCTTGGGTGTCACCGCTTCTAGCCCTCTCAAGGGACAAAACTGGAAACGTATGGATGCCTACCTATGATTTCTGTATTCATCCATCTGTATTAAGCTAAACGTGAGTTCGTGCTGACGTCTCCGAGTCCACACCAGGACCACGCAATTCAATCTTGCCTTCCCTGCCCCCTCGCATACCTGCAACTCGCGACAGTGGGAATACCGGCTCCCTGCCCCCTATCACCCACCCAGCTGTCTGTTTAATTTTAGGACACAGCGGCTCAGGCCTGCCAGCCCAGCCCGTGCACCAGGGGAAACGACTTTCCCAGACAAATGCAGCACTTACGTATATTCCTTCTGTCTAAAGTTTTAAAGTCGCCACTTGTGCCTGGAGTTGCTCAGGGGACTCTGATAGCATTCTCCCTCCCCGACCTCCTTCCGGGAGGTGGCCACGCATCTGACGTGCAGTTAGATTCTTTGTCCCAGTGTGCAGTCTGTCCATGAAGGCTCACTCTGCGCTCGAAGCCCCAGCGCAGACTTCTGATGGCGCACACGGACAGTGTCACACGTGGCAGTTTCACTCTGTGCCCCCAAATGCCCCCTGCGTCACCTGTTCAGTCCTCCTCCCAGGCCTGGGCAGCCACCGATCTGCCTCCCCTCTTCCTTTTCTGCATTTTACCTGAACTTGACTTTCTCCACAGGCTCCTGCCCACCATCTTTTAAACACCTGCTCTCGGGGCGACTCGGGAACCTCCCACGACGGCGTCACAGGTCTTCTCCCTTCGTAGCCGAACTCGGTGTCTGTCCCCAGCCCGACTTCTCTCCTTGCCACTGAAGCGGCTCCTGCCAAAGTCCCCGCTGGCTTCCCTGCTGCTAAACACAGAGGGCCCTGCGCCCCTCTGTGACCACCGCCTGGTGCCAGAAGCCCGGGCCACCCTTCCATCTCTGCAGTGTCTCTCCCTGTGGCCCCGAGACTGCTGCGTGGTCGCCTCCCGGCCACACTTCCTCCAAAGATCAGCCTCTCAGGCCTCCACTGGAGCCTCGCTCCCCCAGGTGCTCCCAGCACAAGGGGACCCGGACCACCATGGTCTCTCGCTGCCTGCCGCGAGACCAGGGGTCGCCCCAAAGTGCGGAACAAAAAACAATAAAAATTCAAAAAATGTTTGCATCCAGAGATAAAAATGTTTTTAGAACATCCATCCACTGCCTGGCTATCTCCCGCATCCCACACTTGATCTTAGCCAAAAGGCTGGGAAGCGATCTCTGAGCACAGGCTTTCCTGCATGTGGCCTCCTGCTTCCTGGCCAGGACTCGCCCCCACTCCGTCACCATGCGGGCTGAGCTGTGATGAGCGGTGGAAGTGTTTCTGGAAGCCTTTTCTACATTCACTTAACATGCCCGGATTGCCAACGACCTGAAACCTGGCTTCTCCCCCGAACCCCCGCCGGGATCCCAGGCTGTGGCCTGAAGCCTCTGTGAGGTTCCCTGATGGGGGTGTGGTGGGGGCAAGAGTTGGAAGGGAAGTCCGAAGAGAAAGAAGCAATATTTGATGGACTGAGGTTAGATCTCTCACTTGGGCAAAACCATGTGGCTGTGACAGGCCCATGACTAGGCTGGCTGACACTTGACCTCCAGCCGCTCGGCGACGGCCCCAAAGGGGCTTGTCACCTGAGCCATCCTCCTGTCCCCCTCGAGATGTGTGTCGGTTCTCTTAAGGACATTTGTGCATTGTCTGGGTGGCAACTCCAAAGGAAGAGCAACAGCCCCAAAACTTGCTCCCACGAGTATTTATGAAAGCATCGTTCATAATGGCCAAACAGCATGAAAACCCAGATGTTCACCAAGGGACGAACAGATGAACCAAAAGTGGTTGGTCCCCGAGATGGCACATCGTTTTACCCAAGGACGTGCAGCGGCAGGGGTGGCCTCGGAAACCTCCACCTTCCACCTCGTGGAAGAAGCCAGACCCCAAAGCCAAACCCACATGATGGGTTTCACTTACACGAAATGTCCAGAATAGGCAAAACTGTAGAGCAGAAAGCAGATTCATGGTTGCCAGGGGTTGAGGGGAGTGAGGTAAGGGGTGAGGGCTAAGGGGCTTGGGTTATTTTGAGGGGGTAAAGATGTTTTATAACTGATCGAGGTGACAGTGGCCCCCTACTGGTGAGTTCAGTAAAAGCAGGGTGTGGGTGGATTGTATGGTATGTGAATTGGAGCTCAATAAAATTGTCACCAAGAAACAAACGAAATAGGCCCTTGCTGATTGCTTCAAGGCACTATTTGTTTATATCAGTGATTCTCACAAACGGGGGTGTCAGCGCGTGAATTTTCGGCTGACTCGGAGTTAGAGAGGTGCGTTCCTGACAGCCCCAGCCCACGGCTGACTCAGGACCAGCCCAGGTGACTTAATCACAGGGGCTGGGAACTGCATCCCTCGGAGAGTCGTGGGGTTCTGGAAGCTGAGCGAGCACCAAAAGGAAGTAGGTTGTGCCCAGAGCAAAAACGGTCGCCTTGCTCCATTTGAAGACATGAACTTGACTAGAACCTGGGACACTTCTGCGAGTGATGGCAGTCCTTTTAGCCCTGACTGCGGGACTGTGGCCTTGTCTCTGAGAGAGGCTGCTTTCTGATCAAACGCAGACCCAACGGCAGCCACCAAGCCCTCAGGAAACAGCAGCAAACAAACAGGCCAAGAAATCGATTCTGGAAGCTAATTGGAGTGGAGGGCTCACACGCAGGGTGACCCGTCCATCATGGGGGACAGACGGAGGGAGGGAGGCCAGGTGGGTTTGCAGAGCAGTGACAAAAAATGAGCTCCTGCTCAGATTCCAGCTCCACCTGCAGACCTTTGGGCTCCTTTGCAAAGCCTCAGCCCAGGCGTGGCGAGCCAGGCCGCTCGGTGGGTTTCCTGTGCCCGGTTCTCCCCGTCTGCTGCCAGGCAGAGAGTGTTAAAGCAGCCGGTTTACTCCGTTTTCACCAGCCACTCACTGGAGCATTAGGCCCTGGGTGGGGTTGAATGGTGACCCCTGCAAAAACATTGCCACCCAGACAGAAGCTGCGAATGTGACCTTGCCTGGGAAAAAGGCCTTTGCAGATGTGATGAAAGATCTCAAAAGGGGATCATCCTGGATTCTCCCCAGGGAGGGGGGCCCTAAATCCAGTGACTGGGGTCCTGAGAAGGGACAGAAGAGGAGAAAACACCACGCACAGAGAAGGGGCTGCATGAGGATGGGAGCAGAGGATGGGGTGATGCACCCACAAGCCCAGGGACACCTGGAGCCGCCAGAGGCTGGGGGAGGCGAGGAAGGGTTTTCTCCGAGAGCCTCTGGAGCGGGCACTGTCCTGCCAGCACCTTGATTTTGAACTTCTGGCCTCAGGAACTGCACGAGAAAACACTTCTGTTGCTTTAAGCCACTCGGGTGGTGGCCGTTCGTTACCACCGACCCAGGAAACGACCATGGTTCTCCCGACTCATCGGCACAACAGTTTTAAACGAAGTAAAGCAGCCTTTACCAGCGTGCCAGGGACTGTGTAGCTCAAGCATTAACGTACTTACACCACCTGACCCTTGGACTGACCTGCCAGGCAGACACTACGAGGGCCCCGTTTTGCCCTCTGGGGAGGGAGCGGTGGTGGGTTGGGTGGCTGGGTCAGGGCCTGCTGTGCCTGCGACTGGCTCCCCCAGTGCTCTTGCCCTTGGCTCCTTAATATTCTGAGCACCATGTCAGACACCCGGCCTCTGCCTGGTGGGTCCCCGAGAGCTTTGATTCTAGGCACCAGGTAGCACTGAGGGGCCTTAGGGGCCATGGGGACAATTAAAGGGTTAAAGCCAAGCTCTAAGTAGCCAGGCATGTAAATAATCCTGGGAGTGTCCTGTTGCCCTGCCCAGAAGGACCCCTCCTACAGCAGCTCCCAGCCTTGCCCCCTCCATCCCGGCCAGTATCCTCTTTAGAACAGGTGGTAATGAAAGGCCAGTGCTGGAAGCCACCCCGGAAGTCACTTCCTGCTGGTGTGGGCAAGACCCCCGTAGGCCTGTCGCTTCGTGTAGGGGGGAGTGATGGCAAGGTCGTGGAGGCTGGCTGGGTATAGACAGGGCCTGGAGAGAAGGGACAGTGGCCACGAACAGTGTACAAGGCGCTTCAGCTCTCTGAGACCCCCGCAGGGTGGGGACCCCTTGTCCCTGCACACGGCCAAAGCTTCTAAGGACAGATGACGCTTCTCCCCTAGGCCACCCTTCCCCTCTCGTTCTTGTGCCCCAGGAAAAAGAAGTATTGCTCATTACAAAATGTTTAGTAATAAGTAAACAGGTGTGGGTCCCCAGAGTGCAGGACCCTGAGGGACACCTACCTGTAAGGCAAAGTAACTCTAGCCCTGTGACCTGGCCCCCACAGGGAGCTGCTCACCTGTCAGGCCGGAGCAAGTGCACCTGGGGAAGTCACCTGAGCTGCCTCCCTCTGTCCACCCCCTTCCCTCCCAGCCCCCCAGTAAATAACAGCTCCCAGAGGCCATGCGGGGAGAGCCGCGGGCCTGGGGGCACGGACTGTACCGCAGGCTCTGCTCCTCGGAGCCAGGCCAGGCGCAGGGGTCACTTACAAGCCCTGGCAGCTGCCCCAGCCCCTGGATCAGACTGGTTTGTTTGAGTTTCCTGTGCCAAGTGACTTCTCTTCCCGGTGAGAATCAGAATCTGAACACAGCCAGGTAAACCCAGCATCAGATCCCTGGGTCAGTACCAGCTCGCCACCCCCTGTCAAGGCCTGGAAGTTTCCAGAGTCCGGTCTGCTTTCTACTTACCTCTTGGACAAATCCCTTGATGGAAGGAAATGCTGGGGTTGAGGAGATGTGGGGGGCGTGCCCCCAAGAGCACATGCCTAGAATCAGTCCTCGATCGTGGTTCTCAGTGAGGGGCACGTCAGAGCTTCACTGCTGGCAGATCCAAGCTCCCGGAGCCAAGGCCTTCAGAGGGCTGCTGCTGGGCTCCAGGCTCCGGGCTGCTGGGCTCTGGGCTGTGGGCTGTGGGCTGTGGGCTTCGGGCTGTGGGCTCAAGGCTGTGGGCTCAGGGCTCCGGGCTCAGGGCTGCAGGCTCAGGGCTCCAGGCTCCGGGCTGCTGGGCTCCGGGCTGTGGGCTTCTGGCTGTGGGCTCAGGGCTGTGGGCTCCGGGCTGCTGGGCTCCGGGCTGTGGGCTCCGGGCTTCGGGCTCAGGGCTGCGCTGGCTTCCATTGGCGCCAGGCCTTTCTGCTTCTGTGGCTCTCTTCCGCCATAAAAAAGAATATTAAAAGTTGTATTTTATAACTGCCTCGATGTAAAAACAAATATAATTTAGGCTGGGTTCATTATTATATATTATTAGCATATTTTTTTCTTCTGATTTTATAAAATAATTAAAACATTTCTGTGGGCTCCTAAAAGTATCAGGACCCTGGGCCTCCTGGGCCTGAAGGTGGAGCCCACCCTGATGCTGTGGGGGCCTCCCTCCCCTGCTGTTTTATTCTTTGATGGTTGCCTGCATCCGGCTTTACTGTGCAAAGCGATTTCCATGCAAAATTGTACTTTCTTTCTCCGCAACAGGCCCATGGGGTGGGGAGTCTTGTGACCCCACCCCGACACACAGATGTGGAAACGGAGGAATTAGATAACTCGTCCAAGGTCACACACAGCTGGGGCTGGACCCACAGCTCGTCACCCCCCGCAGCCCTGTGCTTCAATTCACCTCTGTGCTAGATGCCTCCTCACCCACGTTTGACTCTGAAATGTTTACATGCCCGCAGTTCATTGCGGAGCGGCACACGGCTGCCTGGAGGCCTCCATTAATCAGTAGCCACTTGCACCGGCCCAGCCGGCACTCTCTAGAGCAGAAAGTACGGTACAGAGGGAACCGGGGGCTGCGGCGGCACCTGGATCTGCGCTGGGCCCACCCCTACCCCCCCTACCTCCGGCCTCCTCCCCGCCCCCCCCCCAGCCTGTGCCATGAACAGTGCTCCCTTCGACGTGTGATGTGTCCAACCACATAGGGTGGCCCTGTCCAGGCCTCCAAAATGCTCCAGTGCCACTGTCAGCTTTCCAAGAATCTCTGATTAAATGGTGACAGCCAGTCCCGGGAGAAGGCGGGGGTGATGGAGTGTTCCCAGCAGGAAGGAGGGGGACAGTGGGGGGGCTCTCAGGCTGACGCTAGAGGGAGGGCTCCAGGGGGTGCACAGGAGCTGAGAGTGGAAGCCCAGGCTGCCAGGCGGGACACACAGAGTCCCATGGTAGCCACACAGGGACACTGGGGACCAGCACTGGGCTATCTCAGGGAGTTGCCCTTGGGGTCAGGACCATCCGGCATAGTGTGCACCAAAGACGGAGCTTGGAGCGTGTACCAACGGCTACAAAAGCAAAGATGAAAAGGCAATTAATTTTGCCTGGACAGAGGGACAACCAAGACAAGTTTCATGGCAGATGGAACATTTAAGCTGGGCTTCGCAGGATGAATAGGAGTTTCCTGTGCCAAGAAGCCAGGAAGGACAATTTAAAAGAAATGTGCAAGAAAAGGACGGGAGAGCTAGAGGCCTAAGACTGCGGTTCGCACAGGCGCTGTGCTGCCCCTGTGCTGTGCTGCCTCCCCCGGGTTACAGAGGTTGGCTCACGCACATCCCTCTCCCACTGCGCTGGACGCCCCTGAGGAACTCGGTCCAGGTTGCCTCGTATTCCAGAATTAGGTTCAGGGCCTGGCACAAAGGGGCTGCCAGTAAATGTCTACAGGATGAATGCACCACCTGATGGTTTGTTGCCCGTTGTAGCCAGAGTTTAAGGAGCTAGGAATGAATGGGGAGGTAAGAAGAGGCGAGGCTGACAAGCCCTGCTGGACACATTGTGTGGGCCTGGGGGTTCTGCCTCAGAGCCTGGGTTTCACCGTACAGGGCTGTCGGGTTAACAGAAGGCTGATCTGGACCTGCCTAGATCCCCTGCTCTGCTAAGGTTTGGGGTGGCTCCCAGCTCAACTGGGCAGGTCCTGGGAGCCGGCCCCTGAGTCAGCAGAGGAAGGAAGAGAAATGGGTCAGGCCTGCAGGCTGCACCTGCCTGCTTCACAGTGAGGGAAACAGTCCCACCGAGGGAGCTCTGCAGGTGGGAGGCCTGAGCCAGGAAGAGCCTCACCTTCTCCTGGGTCACTTTCGTTGGGGGAGTAGGGGCGTCAGCACATGGGATCCATCACCTGTCACAGGGCTAGGGTACCACAGCCAAGTGGTACTCATCCTGTACTGGGCTGGTCCAATATTTAAAAACATCAATTAGTATAGTCTATTACACCAATGGATTAAAGTCAGAAAACCACGTGATTGTATCCGTAGAGGCAGGAAAAGCATGTGATAAAATCTAACACGGATTCCAAATTAAAAACACGAACAAAAACTCTCAACAAACTAGATATAGAGGGGAAACCTCCTTACCTTGACAAAGAACATCTACAGAAAACCTGCAGCTAGCATCATACTTAATGGTGAGGAACTCCGAGCTTTTCCATCAGCATCAGGAACAAGGCAAAAGCATCCCATCTCATCATTCCTTTCCAACATCCTAGCTAATGCAATAAGAAAGGAAAAGGAAGCAAAAGGTGTACAGCTTGGGAAGAAAGAAATAAAACTATCTTTATTTGTAGACGACGTGACTGTTCACGAAGAAAATCTGAAAGAACTGATTAAAAAGTTAGTAAAAAAAATTACTGCTCCTGGAACTAATGAGTGATTTTAGCAAGGTTGCAGGATACAAAGTTAATATACAAAAGCCCATTGTTTTCCTGTATACGAGGAACAAACAAGTGGAAGTTGAAATAACAAACACATTACCATTTTTATTAACACCCCCCACTAACAAATGCTCAGGTATAAATCTAACCCAGGTCTGTATGAGAAATTACAAAACCCTGTTGAAAGAAATCAAAGAACTAAGTAATGGAGAGATGTCCATGCTCACGAATCGGAAGACTCAGTATTTGCAAACACATCTCTTCCCAACTTGATTTACAGATTCAACACGATCCCAGTCAAATCTCAGCAAGTTGTGTTGTGAATGTTGGAGAAGAACTGAGTTGGAGGACTGACGTTACCCGACTTCAAGACTTACTGTAGAGCTACAGAAATCAACATGGCATGACATAATCATGAGCACAAACAGATCAATGAAACAAAAGAGAGAGCCCGGATGTAGTCCCACTTGCAGTCCACTGACCTTCGACAGAGGAGCAGAGGGAGTCTCTTCCACAAACGATGCTGGAGTCTTGGGAGGGGAGCCCAGACGCAACTTACCCAGAGGAGAGGGACCACCCAGCCCTGGCTTTTCAATCACCCTGCCCCTCCGGCCCCCACCATAACCTTCTCCCAGGCTAACAAGGCCTGGGGACACGAGGATGACCTGGCAGGCCTGGCTGTGGGACAATTGTGGTTCTTTGCCTCCTTCTGCAGCCTCTCCTGGTCTCCCCAGAGGCCCTTTTCCTGGCAGCACCCGCTTCCCTTCCACTCCAGCTCACGTGCGGAACACGAATCTAGACACAGATCCCACACCTTCCAGCACATTGACTCAAAATAGATCATAGACCCAAGTGTCAAATGCAGAACAACTCATCTCTTAGAAGGTAACGTAGGAGAGAATCCAGATCACCTTATGTATGGAGATGACTTTGTAGGTAAAACACCAAAAACATCTGATCTATGAAAGAAAGAACCGATAAACCGGATTTCATTAAAATGAAAAATTCTGCCGTGAAAGACAGGGTCAAGTAAAAGAGAAGACAATTCAGATTGGGAAGAAAATCTTTGCAAAATATATATCTGATAAAGGACTGTCACTCAAAATATACGAAGAACTCTTAAAACTCGACGATAAGAAAATGAACGACCCAATAGAAAAATGGGCAGAAGACAGACACCTCCCCGAAGAAGATAAACAGCAAATAAGCACACGAAGGGATGTTCAGCATCACATGTCTTCAGGAGACTGCAAATTAAAGCTAGGAGACACCACTGCACCCCTACGGGAACAGCCAAGATCCGGGACTCTGACAACCCCGAAACCCAGGCGAGGACGTGGAGCGGAGGGATCGCACTTGCTGCTGGAGGGAGCGCAACGCAGGGCAGCCGCTTTGGGAGACAGTTTCACCCAAAACTAAACCTACTTTCACCATGTGACCCAGCGTCACACTTCCTGCTGTTTACCCAAAGGAGTTAAAAACACGTCCACACAAAAATCTGTTCTTATGGGCGCTTCATTCATAATTGCTAAACACAGAAGCGAGCATGATGGCCTTCCGCAGGGCAGTGGGTGGATGAACATTCAGACAGTGGAACACTGACTCAGAGCTAAAAAGAAATGAGCTATCGAGCCATGAAGAGGCTTGCAGGGAACTTATAAATGCATGTTGCTACGTGAAAGAAGCCAATCTGAAAAAGGCCACATACTGTGTGGTTGTCATACGGCCTTATGACATTCTGGAGAAGGCCAAACTGCAGAGACACTTTTTCAGTGGGGCGTGGGGGTTAGAGGGGAGGGCTGGATGGACAGGCAGAGCACCGGGAGCTTCGGGTCACACAATGTCCACACGCGCAGAACATCCAGCACCGAGAGTGAACTCCAGTGTGAGGTAAGCACCTGGGCGGTGACAGTGTCAGTGTGCGCTTACCCAGGGAAACAAAGGTCTCTCTCCGGGGTGATGTCGACAGTGGAGGAGGCTGTGTATGTGAGGGGGCAGGATATACGTGGGAAATTTCTACCTTCGGCTCAGTTTTGCTGTGAAACTAAAAATGCTCTAAAAAATAAAGTCCCGCCGCGAGCCCCCCAGCCCCCACCAGCCTCTGAGCTGGAGTGGAAGGGAAGCGGGTGCTGCCAGGAAAGGGGCCTCCGGGGAGACCAGGAGAGGCTGCAGAAGGAGGCAAAGAACCACAATTGTCCCACAGCCAGGCCTGCCAGGTCATCTTTGTGTCCCCAGGCCTCGTTAGCCGGGGAGAGGGTTATGGTGGGGGCAGGCAGGGCAGGGTGATTGAAAAGCCAGGGCTGGGTGGTACCCCTCCTCTGGGTAAATTGCATCTGGGTTCCCCTCCCACGCCTCCACTTTCCAGCTGGGAAATGTGGCAAACCATGTGCAAAACGGGGGTGGAAACTGCA